CGGAGCGGCGGGAGCCCCGCGCCCCCCGCCGCGCTCCTGGAATCCCGGGAGCTCCGCGCAGGAACCGCCTCCGCATCCCGCGTTCGGGCCTCTCGGATCCGGCCTCGGGCTCTCCATCCCTGCAGGCCCCGACGAGCACGGACCCCTTGCTGGCCACCGCGCCCCAAACCCTCCTGCTCGGCGAACATGCGCGCAAGCGGCGCCTCGGGGCAGACGCTTAAAGCCACGGGGGCGCTCGGTACCGGCCGGTACCGTCCCCCCTCATCCCCCCCGGGCCGGTACCACCCTCCGGTGTGACAGGGGCCGCCCCTCGGCGGCCGCTGCCTCTCGGCTGCCCCCAGCGGCCCCGCGCCGGGCCCCGCGCCGGGCCGGGAGCCCCAGGAGCAGCGCGGGGCTCCCGGGACCCGCGGAGCTGCCGCCGCCCGCCGCAGCCGGCCCCTCGCTCACCTCCCCGCCTCGTTAGCCCGCTGGTACACGSGCGTTAATTAGCGGCAGTATGAGCACCGTTTACCAGGCGTCAGACCCCGCTGTGTGGAGAGGTGCAAGSTCTCCCTGGTTTTCACGTCTGAGGAGATGCTTAAATTTATGAAGCTGATAGGCACAATTTGCTTAACCCAGATTTTCTAGGTAAAAAAGAGCTCGTAGTCCTGCTGTACCCTTTGTTGCTTAAGTATGGCCTTGGTTCTTGGCAATTTAAAAGGCAGACAAAAACCCTCCTACCTCCTAGTGGTGTGAAGTCGGATCAGACACGGGGCTGCAGTGGAAAAGGAGGCTCCCGGTACCAGCCCAGGTGCTGCCCGGGCAGGGGCTGCTCTTGCTGAACTTGCTGTGCAAGGGGAGCTGGGCAAGGCCAGGAAGGATCTTGCTCCCGGCTAGTGGAGCCCATGTAATGAGGCTGGTCAGGAGGCCTCTCGCACGGTGTCTTCTGCTGAGACGGTCTGAAAATTGAAGCTAGGCTCGGTGCTAACAGCCCTGTGTCCTGCTATGACAACTTAAACCCTGTCAGTGCGCAGAGGTGCAGTGTGCTGCCTGCTGTGGCCAAGAGCGAACATTGTGTTGCCTTGAGCTTTGTAAAACCCTGGTGGGGTCTGCAGAGCTCATCAGGGACTCGTCAGCTTGATCCGCTCTAGCWGGGGCAAACTGGCAAAGTCCCTTCCAGCAGCCTCAGACGAGGCCAGARGCTGGAAAATCCGCAGTGAAAAGAGAACTGCCGGCTTTGCCAGGGCTCTTTGCCCCTGCGCTGGCACCTTTGGTACCGCTGAGCTGCTGCAGTGGGGGCTGCCGGCTGCCTGTGCACGGGGAAACTCTGAGCCCTCAGCTTGTGGACTCTGCTTAAGAAAACCTTGCCAGCCTTTTCTTTTTTCT